CTTGTGGGACAACTCGGTCATTCGGTGTTATTTATAAAGTTTATGTTCCACATCCTACCCTGGTGAGTAGTGTCTGGGGTCTTAAAAGCTTACAAGTGGCCATCTAAGATACAACTGTTGGTCTCTAAATCATCTGGAGGAAGAGAAAGAAGGAAACCAAAGACTCAGAAGAAAGTGGTCTACAGGATTAACAGTCTACACAAATCATGATACCTTGAGACCGTAAGAACTAGATGGTACCTAGCTCCCACTACCAACCAGGGACTCAATAGATGGATCCTGACAGACAGGAAGGAAAATGTGGAACATAACTCCGATTCTTAAAAAATTCAGACTTACTGGACCAGTTGAGACTAGAAGAGTCCCTGGAAGTAGCATCCTGAAATACTCTTTAAACTTTGAACTAAGATATCTCCCTGAGGTTACCTTTTAGCAAACAACACATTGACTCATAAAAGAGACCCTCACCAATGAGTACTGTGCTCCTTTAAAAAATCTGAGACCACACAGTCAATATTTACCCTACAGCAAAGATGAGAAGGCAAGGAGGGGACAGGGAAGCTAGATTAACAGAAACAGAAGAACCAGGACAGAAATAATGAGAAGGTTGACAGGCTGTGAAAACAACTAATGTCACTTAACAATTTATGCAGAAAACCTAAATGGGACCCTAATTTGCTGTGTAAACTTTCACCAAAAACGCATTTTTAGAAAGTACACATTTGCAGAGCCCTGTGATCCTTATCACTGCATCCTACAACTGGGTATTCACATCTAGTGAATCTCTTAAGGTACTGAAGCTCTTAAGGTACCATAAAGGCACCTCAGCAGGCCAGAAGGATTCTTGTTCAGCCTTTCAGTAATTGGTAAGCAGCCCAGGTGACAGTGGTTAAAGTGCTCTAATGTTAATCGAAAGATTGGCAGTTCAAACCCACTAGCTGCTCTGGAAGAAAGATACGGCAGCCTGCTTCCATAAAAATCACAGCTTTAGAAACCTGGGGCACTCTCAAGCAATTCTACCCTGCCCTAACAGGTCACTGGGAGTGAGGACTGACTCGATGGCAACAGGTCTGGTTTTCCTGGTGTCAGTAGTTGATAAGCTGTCTATACAAGCTGCTGCTGACACCTTGCCCACTTACTCCCCTGTAAATGGTTGTTGGTAAAGAGCTGTCTAGGTCAGACTGTGCCTCCGTGCAGTATTTCTGCCTAGCTTAAACCTGATTTAAGATTTACTGACATTCCCATTTTAAAATGTGTATATAACTGAAGATCATGGTACAGAGGCAGTGCTCAGCAGTACATAAGTCTTAAGAGAGTTAGATTCTTACCTAAAAAATAAGAATGTTGAATACTGCTTTTGACACATAAAAACACATTGTACACCAATATTATCAAATTTACAGGTACGATGCATCCATTGAACTCCTATTTGGGTCTATCTAAGCAACGAAGTGCCAGACTTTTAGGGTTGTCTGGCCCTTCTTGGGCAGCATCCCAAAGGACCATAACTTCTTTTTTTTAAAAAAAATTGTTTTACTGTTTTTGGTGAAAAGTTTGCACAGCTAATTAGGTTCTCATTCACACAAACAGTTCAGTAATCCTGGTTACATGCTTCACAACGTGTTCGCGTTCTCATCATTTCCATTCTGGTTGTTCCGTGTCCAGTAATCTAGTTTCTCTTCCCCCTTACCATTACATCTTTGCTTTGAAGTAACTGCTGACCATTTTGTCCCGCATAAATGATTTTGTAGAACTCTTAAGTTTTAAATCTTTGGTAACGGGATATGTCTTCTGGGGGAAGAGCTCAGCCTCTTTTTTTTTTTTTTTTTTTTTTTAACTTCCTTTTGGTCTCTCCCCATCATCCTTCCTGGGAAGCATGTTTTTAAAAATATAAATTATATTTACTTTTGTGAGAAGATCATGATGACAGTGAGAGTAGACTGAGGAAGTTCAGCTTGGGCGCCCTCCAGCTTCTTTCAGGGCCTTGAACTAGTTTGAAATGGTTCAGTCACGGCCCACGGAAACATGGGCAGTGTACGTGCTGCATAGCAACCAAATCTCTTGCATGTTGGATTTTGACCTGAGTAGGAAATAGGCAGCAGTGCCTTCCTCAAAGATGGCAGCCAACCACATTCAAAGTGGGGTGGTTGGCCACTGCCTTTGTTTCCGTCAGCCATGACAGAACCATTCCAAAGCCCTGCTTTCTGTCATATTCTATGTGTCTACATCATGCTATTATGAAACTTGCAAAGAGTAAGCCTTTACCTCCCTTGGTTAGCAGCATGTCTAAAAAATAAAGCTGACACCAAGAACATGAAGAAATGTTCATGATCATTAGCCATTAGATGCAAATCAAAACAATGAGATACCCTCATTGAGATACCCTCAGCACTAGTAGCAAAGTTCAACAAGACAGAAAATAACAAATGCTGGCAAGGATGCAGAGAGATTGGGACTCTCCTACACTGCTGGTGGGACTGTCAAATGATTCAACCACTGTGGAAAGCAGTATGGTGATTCCTTAAATGATGGAATTAGAAATACCATTTGACCCAGCCATTCCATTATTAGGTATATATCCTAAAGAAGTGAGAGCCAAGACAAGAACAGACACCCATGTCCATCATACCACTATTCACAATAGCCAAAAGATGGAAACAACCTAGGAGTCCATCAACAGAAGAATGGATAACAAAACTATGGTACATACACCCACTGGAATACTATGTAACCCTAAAGAACAACATAGAATCTGCAAAACACTGCATATAACATGGTTGAACTTGGAGGACATTATGCTGAGTGAAATAAGTCGATCACAGAAGGACAAATATTACATTAGTCCATTATTGTAAAAAGTCAAGGAAAGGTTTATCTATGGAAGGAAATTTTCTTTGTTGGTTACTAGGGGTGGGAAAGAAGGGGAGGGAACACTAGATAGGTAGAGATAAGTATTGATTTGTGTGAAGAGAAGGGCAATGTAGCAAATGTGAGTGATCAACACGGTGGCACTGAGGAAGACAGGAGCATGGGAAGTACAGACAACAAAGATGAACCCTTTTGCACATACAGCACTGCATTGTCAGTGATGACAAACATTGATATATGGGTGGACAGATGGGTGGACAGGCTGAATGATTAGGTATGTTTGTGCAGGGGGGAGTGCCCATGACCATGTATAGAATTGGCAGACAATGTTTCTACAAGTGTATTGGTATGTTCTGTAAGAATTTCTAAGTATATAATATATAGTAGAGTTGAAAGGGTGTAGTCACTTCTTGGCCATAGCCAGCTATCCTGAAGGAGCATGTAATTAGACTTGTGGCCCTGGGACTATGGTTGCAGGGGACATCAAGCTCAATTGGCATAACATACTACACAAAACATTGTTCCACATCCTACTTTGGCGAGTAGCAACTGGGATCTTAAAAGCTTGCAAGCAGCCATCTAGAGGCAACGATGGGTCTCTCCTCATCCAGAGCAAAGAAGAATGAAGAAAACGAAAGATGCATGGAAACAATTAGTCCAAACGATCAGAACACCATGCATGCGATCCCTCAGCCTATATGACTGTAAGACCAGAAAAACTACATGGTGCTTGGCTACCACTGTCAACCACTTGGAGGAGGATATATGTAGGAGATCCTGGATATAGAGGGAGAACAATGTGG